ATAAACTGTTCTTATGTATTTTTTAGATTTTTTTGGTAACAGAATTAACTACTTACTTGGAATCTTGTTTTAAATATTTAATCCTTAGATATGGAAGTTGAACATTTTATAAATTTTTAACTTCAAAATAATTATTCAATTTTAAATTTGATAAATAATACAGTTAATAGGTATTTGTAGCTTATAGTATATGCTTTATATTATTTGGTAGTTCATTATATTTTAATTTAAAATAAAAAGTAGGTTAATGATTTGGAGCCTGCTAAAACAGCTACAATTCAAATGCAGAAAACGATTTAAATCCTGGTGACTGCTTTGGTATTTGGATGAACACGCAAATGAAATTGAAAAAATTAAACACCCCATTGTCAAAGAAATTATTAACAAACATAAACAATCGCAAAGACAGTATTTCTCATAATCCGGTGTTTGAATCTGGTACAGTAATATTTAATTAGCTCAATTTTCTTACATTTACATATTATTTAATAATTATTAATGTTTTTAATTTTTACACCATTCATTTTTTGTAGCATTTTATCTTGATCTTCTCAAGAGCAGTAGCTCATATAATTTGAACATGGAAGTTGTTGAATCACTTGAAAAATCGTTTCCCAACCCCGACAGTTGAAAGTTTTCAACTTGAAACAGATGATGGTAGTGTTAACTCTAATACACACTACAGAAGAAAACTGATGACACAGACGATGTATGTCTGATTTCAAGTAGGTATATTTAGACTCTCTATCAAATTCACAAGAAATGCAAGAATCAAGTTCTTCCACAACAACCACAACTACAGCTACTTCTATTAGAATTATTCTCAATAATTTTGAAAATTCAACAAAACTGCTATATAGTGAAGATATAATCACATTTTAGAAAAGTAAAAAAAATGAAATGCCTGAGTTATATCAGCTTTCAGAAATATTTATGGCAGTACCAACCACTCGGGTAATATAATGTTACTTTGTATAAAACTATAAAGTATAAATAGTATTAACTTTATAAATTGATTACTTGTTATAGTTATCTGTAGAAAGATTGTTTTCGTCATTAAAGTTTATTTTGAATGATTTATGGTCAAATTTAAGAGCAAATGTACTTGAACAAATAATGATAGTAATGATACTACCATCAAATTTAGTAATTTAGTGAATAGCTAAAAATAAAAAAAAGTGAAATGAATTTATGCATAATATAACATACTAAAAATATGAGTTCTGAAAAGTAAAATGTTATACTCTTGTGTTGTTATAACTTATAAGATATAATCAATATACAGTTTTGATATATTTAACTATTTAAGACTTCAGTACATATTTAACATTTAATATATTGTTTAAACTTTAAAGTTTATAAAGGTTATTGTTTTATAGTTGTATTTTAATAAAACTTTTATTATAAAAGTAGTAAGTAATAAAATTAAAAAGGCTTAAGTCACATACTACAATTATCTAATGTCTTGATGTAATTTCAAGTCTACTAATCGTTATTGATTAGTAAATAATAGGCTTAAGTTTTTTTTGATATTTTTTTTTTTAATTACCATCTATTTGTAGGTTATAGAATGATAATACATAATATTTATTTTTTAAGTTTGATTTTTCTTCTAAATTATTTAACTATTTCAGATATTAAATTGTTGTTAATATATATGATTATTGTTTATAAGTATTCACAAAATATTTTAGCGTCATAAATTATTTTTATTTATTTTAGAGTTCTAAGTCGTTTTATTTTATTTATACCTATAGGCTTACAAGGACCAGTGAGAGGGGTTGGATGTCCTTCGCCAGCTGCAATGACAACAACTAGAGTCTTGATGGGTATGCATATATTTAAATATACACTATTTGGTACATGTCATTTAATCAATCATGTATTTTATAGTATTTTAATTATGTCTTAGGTGTTATGCCACCAATGCCTGGTAGACCACTGCCAATGCCAACCAATAACATGTGTGATACTCCACCTATGATGATAGGTAAGTAGTGTTGTAAATTAAAATGGATCAAAATTTTTGTTACATACAAAATTTATTATTTAGGTCCTCCAGCTGGTCCAAAAGGATATTAGTGTGTAATACTGATGTTATCTACTGAAGATTTGATATGACTAAATAAATAATCATCGTATAACATTCATTAATTGTATTAGGTACCAATTTCATAAGCTAGTGAAGTTCAACAACACATTTTATGGTTCTGAACCATTATTTTCTCAAGCAAATTAAATAATTCAAATTTTTAACTATTTTTAAATCATATTTGCTTGACCTTAATGAGTTTACTCTTATTTGTAATATTTAATAAAATAAAATGAACTTAATTTAACCCGTCGTTGGTATTGCTATGCTCAATCCCACCATTGGTATTCAGTGAGCGCTGCCTCTTACCTAGTTGTTTTTCATCATTATTTATTATATAATCATTATCATTCATCTTGGCCTTAGTGGTCTGGAATATTTTGCTGATTATTATACAGTACCCATATGAATGCTGTGTTCGTTAAAAATCGGTCTGAGTTTACGAAAAAGTATTAGGTGGATCTATTGAGTGAGTGCAACACTCAATTTATGGATTTAACATCATTACATGCCAATATCCAATCAAGAATTATTTATAAAATTATTATATTTGCAAAAGTATATTTTAACATACACTTTCGGTTGAAGGTATAAAAAGTAACAGATGAATCAAGTAATAAATAAATAAGTGGCTCTCAAAATACTAACTAGATGAGCGCCGCACTTTAGCGCGACCACTATAGGGTTAAGAAGGAAATAATGGTATAAAAATGATCTATGAATAAAATAAATGAATAAATGAATAAATATTTTTTTATTAATTGCGAGAATTTGATTTAAATATTATTATATTATTTGTTCATAAAATATAAATGAATCTTAATTTATTTATTTTATCAAAATATAAAATAATTTTTTACAAATTGTAAAAATGTAGATGTCCCAAAACTTAAAACTTAAAAAGGTGGGCAAGTGGGTGTCGCTCTGCTGTACAGTAGGTTACAAGTGGGTCACTGTATAATGGATGATATTAAATTTGAATTCAACGATATAATATCATTGTATAAGAAAAACGATTCTGAGCGGAGACGGTATGTCAGTCTATGTTTAAGACATATTATATACATATCTATGGTATTAAACAAAAAATTGACCTATAATAGGTACCTATAATAAATTCCAAATTAATCATATCACAATGTCCATTAGGTACTTATAACGCGTTATACATCAACAAAACCGTGATACTATCATAGATATATAATAGTACACTTTAGAAGTTTCAAGTACCCACGAATAATATTATTTAATCACAACAAAATAACTAAAATAGTTATTCTAGGTTTTTTAATATGTAATTTCGTCCAAATTTGAATTTAAAATGTCTGTAAAAAATAACTGTGTTCATATATTTTTTAGATTTTTTGGTTACAGTATGAACTATTTATGAGAACCTTTGTTTTAAATTTGCAATCCTTAGCTATAAAAACTGAACATTTTATAATTTATTAATTTCAATGATTGATAATTTTCGAGATTTTGATAAATTTTGTCAAAATTTGATCTTTAAATGCTTATAAAAAAAAACTGTGCCTATGTATTTTTAATATTTTTCAACTGCTATTGTAACAGTATATTAGGAGCCTTGTATTAAATTTTTACACTTTTTGGCCCAACAGATAAAACTTTATTGATATTTATAGAAAAAAAAACTAAAAAAAATTGAAAGCTGTAAATGTCCATAAACAGCTCAAAAAGAGTCAAAATATTTTCAAAATTGTATGGTGTATAGAAAATGCTAATTTAAACATTCAGTGAAATTTTCATGTATCTACAGTTATTTGTTTTTGAATTACAACAAACTAAGGAAATCGCTACATGGGAAATCGAGTGAATATTCAATGTTGTAAAAATTTGAATTTCAAACGCTCATAAAAATTTAATTTGACTTTCTTATAGACATTTTTTTTTTTGATAAAGGTAGATAATCTTATAAGGAATCTTGTGTTAAATTTTCAAATCTTAGATTTAAAAAGAAAAATTTTTACGAATTCTTAACTCAAAATAATTTGCTAATTTTCGTGATTTTTCCATATTTTGTCAATTTTTGAACTTGCTATAAAAAAAGTGCTTATAAAAAATATAGTAAAGTGCTTATAAAAAAAAATTGTGACTAAGGATTTTTAATATTTTTCATCTGCCTTTGAAACAACATATTAGGAGCCTTCTATTAAATTTTCAAGCTTTCGCAACCAACAAATAAAATTTTATTGATATTTCTAGAAAAAAAACTAAAAAAAAATGAAAAATGAAAATGTCCCTAAACAGTTCAAAATAAATCAAAATATTTTGAAAATGTTATCGTGTATAGAAAATGCAAATATAAACAACCAGTGAAAATTTCATGTATATACGTTCATTTGTTTTAGAGTTACACCAAAAACCAAAATCGATTTTTTGGAAAACCAATTTTGCGTAAAAATTCCCGTTTTTCCTTAATTTTTATGTTGTTTTTCCCGGCGCTTGTGAAAACTACTGGGAAATTTATACTTTTGACCCCCCAAAGTACCAACTAGATTCACTTTCCTATCAGAAAAGCTACTGATGAAGAAAATCCATGCACTTTTACTGTCCTAAAACGTGATGACAGACACAAAAATAAAAATAAAAATAAAAAAAAATAAAAAAAAAATAAAAAAAAAAACACACATCATTGTAAAATCAATACATTCATCGTTTCACTCAGAATCTAAAATAAAAATACTTAACTATTTAATATAAAAATGTTTACTTATAATGATAAATAATTTTTTATTTTAACAACTTGTTCAAAAAAAAGATTTAAAAAAAGGTAAAAAGCAAATATTTATCAAATTAACATCTCTTTCTTAATAGAGGTTTTAATGATTCATAATTTGTAATACAACTTTAATATATTAAAAAAAAATATTTAGATAATCATTACAAATCAATCTTCGGCTCCCAATTTTTCCATGTCATCTGCATTGTCGGTATTTAAACATTCAATAGGTTTACAAAAATGTTCTTCAATTTTTTTCAATACAACGTGATCCAAAATACCACTTACAAGGTTAATAGCAATACCTTTTTTACCAAAACGACCAGTACGTCCGATTCTGTGTAAATATGTATCATAATCAGGACCGCGAGTGACTGTCACAGGCAAATCAAAATTAATAACAATTGTGACCTGCTCAATATCAATACCTAAAATAATAAAATAGAAGTTTAAAATAAATAATTAACAAAATAATGATGCTTATTACCTCTAGACAATACGTTTGTAGTAACCAAAACTTTTTCTTTTCCTTCGCGGAAACGGTCCAAAACAGATATTCTTTGTTCGATTGTGAGTTCACCAGACAATAAAGCTACAGCGTGTCCTTGTTCTGCCATTTGATTAATTAACCATAAAGCCATTTTTTTTGTCTAAAACAAAAACAATTGTTATTAAATAATAGACACAAATATTAAAAATAGTTAGCTGTCATGCTGTAATATTTATTATTAACCTTCAAGCGAACAGTTTTTGTCGGACGCACATTCGAAAAAAATCTAGCCCATTTGTTAAAAGTTTCATGCAGCGAACCTATCCATTAGGTAATCTCTAATTTCTAATCTAGTCAGTCATGATAAGGCAATTGTTATAATTCACATAAACATAAATTCAAATGCGGCTCTAAATTGTGCGGTGTTAATACCGTCTGCGCCCGCGTGTGTAACTGCAAAATGCCCGCCCGCTCGAAGTTTAAGATATAAATATAATGAATCTGATTTATACAATATATAGAATGGTTATGTTTACAACGAACACAACTCCTGCTCAATAAAACCAAATGAGGTGATAGGAAAATACCTGTGGCGCCATTCATTTGATTTATTCAAACGTTTATCAAGGTAAGTCTAATAGTTTATTTTAAAAATCAATATTGTTTTGGAGTATATTAATATGATACGTGATAACATTTTCAAAATAATTTTTTTGATAATTTTCTGACAAGTATATTTCTTAAATTATTTATTATCCACATAATTGTTTTCATATTTTGTTACGTAAGTATCTACCTATCAATTTATTATCTTAGTTTGTCCGGTCTTTCTGTTACACCATGCATAGTATAATAAGGATTATATGGGTTTAGAGATATTTTATTATAATATAATAAAATATATATTATATATTCTTATACGTTTTTCATAAAGAATAATAAATCATATATAATTTGAAAAAACCAAAATTAATGTTTACAATCCCGATTATACTATATAGTTTATGGTCAAATGTAGCCCCCTACTATTAACCAGCAACAATGTGATCCCGGTGGCAGAATAACCGTTCTCTTTTATTTGGAACACTTTTATAATAGATGGCCATAGGAGTTAGGTCTTCTTATTTCTAATTTTCATGGTATATAGTACATAAAATGATCAAATTACAAATTTTAAAACTTTTTAAAAGGGTTAACAGATGTATTATGTGAGATAAGCTTTTTTTTCTTAACGAACAATTTATAAGTTTAATACCGGGTAGCATGAAATCGTTCCTTAAATTTATTTAATGAATAGTTTTATTGAATCATTAAATAATTTTATTAAGCGATTTGGGTTGCACAAACAGTTGAATAAAAATGTATTGGTTTCAAACATGATACCAAGGTTTATGTTGAAGTCTGAAGCTTATCACAGAAAATTGATAACAACTAACAGCTGTTGTTTTAGTTTGAAAATTTAATCCGTAGTTCGGTACAAAATAATTGCATTTATATTGTATAATATTATACTACCTAGTACCTAACTATTTAAAGTGTTTTTATGTTTACCTACGTCCTACGTCCGTAATAAGTAGAGTATAATAATGTCAGAAGTAAATGTAATTGATTTTAAATTAAAACGGCAATGGGGAAAAAATTTTACAGAATGGGAGAAAGATATGCTAATTGACTTGATATTACATTTCAAGTCAATAATTGAAAAATGGCGAAGCTTCTATTTGTAGAACGTCGCAAATCGTTTCCAATTAAATGTAATAAAAATACAAAAGTTTCCTTTGATAGTCTATTGTAAAAAAATGCATATTGCGTATCAAATTAGGTACGGTTTACATTTTATTTAACTTATTGGTTATTATAGCTATTAGTTACTTACCTAAACCTACTTTTAAAGTCAAAATCGTCGAAATCCTCCAATGGGTTAGACCTATCCCGAAAGAATCTTGGTCTGGGTAAATAAAATAATACATCCAACACCATTTCATCATCAGAATTAGATGAGTCGGAATCAGTCATTTTTTAAAGTGTATTTAATTACTTTGAGATGTATTAAATATTAATAATTAATTATATACGTGGTAAGCAAGTAAAAATTCAAGAATGTAGCATGTAAGAGTGTGGAAGTGGTGTAACGCATTGACAAGACGCATAGGTAGTTACTGATGTAGGTACTGTATACTACTGTTTAATGAACGAATACATTTTTATTCAACCGAAATCGGATCATTAGTTTAATTGACCGGTAACCAATAGTTTAATGACTCAATAACGTTATTGAACGTTTATTTAACATTTAGTGGATGAATAACTTTTTATTCATTCAATAGCGTACTATTGGTTCATTAAATATTTAATGAACGTTCATGCAACCCGGCATATAACTATCAAAATCAAAAAAATAAATATAGATTTTCATTATTTTTATGGTTAATTTGAAACCATGATTGGAAGCAAAATAAAATACTTAAAATTTAAATTTGTATCCAAGAAGAAGACATACAACTAAAACTGTATATATTCTGCTTACAACTTACAAGTGTGATGTCCATTTTGAAATAAATGTTATAAATTATTTTATGCAGTATTACTAAACACTTATTTTAATAATAATCACATCAAACATTTGAAAATTTAAATTAATTAAATTTAACAAATATAATAATTAACTGTTGTTAGGTATTATTATAAATTTATAATATAAGAACAACATAATATGATGTACATATAACAATTTTATTATTTTAAATTGTTAAAATATGCATAAAAGACTAAAAGTATGTACGACTGAAGCACAAAAAGCGGCTGCAGATCGATAAAATGGTAAAAAAACTTCAATTATATCGAAATAATATCAATGATGTATTTGAACGCCGATATCGTAATGAATATGATATTTTAGCATTGAAATCATCTGAATGACAATTATGATCCAAAATAAATTAACCAAATTTTCATTGCTGGGATTACCAAAAAATTATTGTATCTATGTGTCAAGAACCAAATGAAAATGAATTGAAATTTACTATGAAAATGATTGAGTCAAATTTCTCAATTTATTCTACATGGCATTATCGATTAACACTTTTCAGTGCTGCAGGAAAAGATGAAGAATCCACCAAAATCCACCAGATCAAAGTACTTGGATATACCAGGGATGGCTTATAGGAAAACTAGAACCATACGAGTTCCTCAAATAAAAAATAAAATTTATCTCATACTAAACAGAAAATTACCAAATAATTATAAAATTATTGGATTGGGAGAAACAAATTTGGAATAATTCGATTCAAAAATTTGGTATAAAGACTAGACAATGTCGATAGTACCCAAATACACATTATTGATGAAGTAAACTAAGTAATAGATAATGTTCGACAAAATATATTTAATCTTAATATTAGTGAACAGCTTCGACTTGTTTTAAATAAACAACTGAATTTAAATAATTTTGAAATTTTGAATCTGAGAGAAAATCAAATTCAAGAAATTTCATACAAAGAGCTAACATATCGTGAAACAATAAAAAAAATTAACCATGATAAAAACAAATAGCTCTTGGTAACATATTACAAGGTATCAATCAGTCTACTAATATTTAAATTATGTGATTGTTAAGTATAATTAGTTAAGTCTTATGACTACAAAATCCATATAAGGCCATTAAAATTAAAATTATTTACTTATATATTATTACTATTCTATCTTATTTATGATATGATGTAATTTTTATTAGCATTATAAGTGAAAATTGTGGCGGTTGGGGGTTGGGAAAAAGTATAATGAATAGTGTTAATTGATATTTCTAGATCCCCTTAGATTTTTAACCAAATTTACGCCTATGAATAACATCTTAGAATATTTTAGTTTATACAAAATATATATTATAAATCTTTATAATTTTAAAAAATATTTTATTCTTATCAATATTGAATTATTGTAATTTATTAGATAATATTAATTTAATGTTGCACATTAGAAATTATATTTTGAAAAAAAATGTAAGGGACTTAATCGAATACCCGCAAAATTATAATAACAAATAAATATTAAATATCCCATGTTGGAAATATTGGACCATAATATATTTTTTGAAATACAGGATATTTCAAAAAACATATTGTTTAGCATTCTACAATATTTATGAGTCCGTCATACTACCAATAATTTATTTATTGATTTATTAATTATGTTACCATATTATTACCATAATATAATTGACTAAACATAGTGAATGAGCAGTTGTGTGTTAACACATCAGCGGTATTGAATGTGATAAAGATAAAAACTATCAGATACAATATATGTAACTTACTTTAACATTTTAAATTAGATGAGTACTGACTAAATATATTTAAAAAATAAGAAATGAAATAAAAAAAAAATTAAAACCATTTAAAAAAACGCAAAACAAAATATTTTTGATTAATAATTCATTCAAAATAAATTTTAGAAATTGGCTAATAATAACAGATAATTTAATTTATATTTTTTTATAATTTAAAATTATTCAATTTTTCCTTTACGATCAATAAATAAATACTTAGATACAATATAATCACCAATGCATAATGAAAAACCGTTATTAACTTATATTGGTTTTTTGATTTAATTAGGTACCTGACAAAAGATCATAGCTTGTCCAATAGTCACTCCTCCATAAATATTAACTAATGCATTGTATTTATCTTCTTTATTGTTGCAGTTCACATAGTATTGTCTGATATTATCTAATGTTTCTTCTTCGCGTTTTAATTTTATGATGACAGACTCAGGTGCAATAGCATTGGCAAACCTCATGACATCTTCTGTATATGTTGCCGAAAAAAACATCATTTGACATGTTTCTGGTAGTAACCTTAATATGATATTAAAATGTTTAATTTAAATAAAAATTTTAGTTAGAAGAAGTTTTACCTTCTAATGCGGAAACTTTGATCTTGATGACCTTGGGTGTCAACCATAATATCAGCTTCGTCTAACACAAATACTTTAATATTTTTTGGGTTAAAAAATTTGAACTTAGTTGCCCAATCCAAAACTTTTCCAGGTGTACCCACAATTATATGTTCCTCTATTTTAGAACCTTTTTCAACTGAAAATTAATAATATATGTAATACTGTCTTAACAATTAAGAAACTATACATATAAATACACAAAAATACAAACCATTTTCACCACGAACAGCATACCTTAGCTTAATGTTGGGACAGTAGATAGACATTTTTGCTATAACTTCCCCCGTTTGAATAGTCAATTCATATGTGGGAGACAAACAAATTACCTAAACAAAGATTTAGAAGGCATTAAATAACTAAATAAATCATTTGCAAAATATTCTAGCCTAATTACCTGTGGATACTGAAATTCCGGATCAACTCTACTTAACATTGCCAAAACAAATGCTGCTGTTTTTCCAGTACCTGACTGTGACTGTGCAATCAAATTTTGAGGCCTATAATATGAAATAAGTTAAATATTTTAGTCTCTGTGAATAAAAAAACCTAAAAATATTTATTAATTAATAGTTAGGTAAACTAAAATATTTTTAAGATATGGACTTACGGATTGGCCAAGAGTAAAGGCAATGCAGTTTCTTGTATCTTTGAAGGTGCATTATAACCCATTTCATAAACTCCTTTAAGCAAATTTGGATGACTAAAAATAATGAAAATAAAAACAACTCAACAATGGCATACATAATAAATATTTCTAATATAATCATTATTTATACTAAAATACAGTAGAAACTCATTTTTACCCGTCATCGTTCAAAAAATTGCATATGCAACGTACTTAGGTCTTATTTCTCCGTAAAGTACAGAACATTTCCACTCAAAAATCTCTTTAAGGAATAAAGGAGAATGACAGATTATTTTGTATAGTAAGAATATTTCTATTATTTTTGTTTGAAAATTCAAAATATGTACACACGTTGAATAATAAAAACGTTTATGGCTGATTTTCTATTAACCGTCATTGTCCCGACAGTGATGGTAAATCGAGTTTCTACTGTAGTCAAATTTTGGAAATCTTACAGTTCAAGTAACTCAAATGATTTGATTGAATATAATGGTGATTTTGGGTCCCGTCTTTGCACCTCAATGTCATGTTTAGATGTTATAAGACCCGTGCGTACAATTTTCTGCAATAATGATTTTTCAGACGCTGACAATTCATTGTCTTCTTCATGAGAAGTGTGGCTTTGAGTTTCTGCAGTCGAATAATTTGAGTTTATGCTATCCAAGTGTGCATCATTAAACTGTGTACACCAATTATTATTATAAATCAAGGTATAATATACAATTTTCATAATCCAAACGAAATATCGCTTTAGAAAAAATAAAAGCCAGTAGGTACTTACGTTTTTAGTGATTGATTCCATGATTAAAATACTGAAAAATGTGGTAAACCTAGGATTACACAAACGGAATGACTGCGGTTTATAGAGTACCTACCTATAGTTCACGAATTGTTACCTAATGTTTGTGTATCGGTTCAAAAGCCAAAACTCGAAAGTGATTAGGAATTCGATCTCGGTGATATTGATTGTATCGATTACCGAATGTACGATATTATAATATTACGGATATTTCAATCATGATAGAAGTAATATTAATTAAAAGTAATTAATTAAGTAATTACGTCTTCTATCGTGATTATAATCTGTGATATTATATTATCAGGAATATGTACCAAATTTAAATAATATAAAAATCTTCAACCAACGTGAAAACCACGGTCCGTGGTGGTGAAAACATGAAATCTTACAATCTATGTTCATAGATAATATTCTTATATTATCTATGTCTATGTTTTGCTGTTATCAAACCACCGACCATAGAGCATAGAGCTGATAAGCATACCACGATCTTCATCTCTACTCACAGATATAAAATACTTATATTTTATATCTGTGTCTCTACTTCTCTACATCGTGGAGCATACTCTATGCCACGGCCATATATGGTCGTGCTCAATGCCACCGACCCTCAAGGTTTATAGATAATAAATCTATAAACCTTGACCGACCCTAGCGTTTTATTGTAAGTGATACTGCGTCGATTGTGCTGATAATGTTGTGATGGAAACCATTTTATTAAATTTCAATGACTGATCAATAATTATTATAATCATACAGAGGTTCTTGACTCGGATCACCTAGATCACGGACTTCTGATGAAAGATTTCTAGAAATCGCGGACCCCCTCACTACATTTTTTTCGAATACCTACCTTTTTTTCTTTTTTTTTTACAAGACTTCTCATGTTATCATAACCAAAATTATAATAGTTATTTTATATAACAATAATTGAATAAGTAGACATAACGAAACATATACACATTATATTTAAAAAATATATAAACAGATTTTTATAGATATTTTAAATTCAAATTTGGACGAAATTAAATATTTAAACAAAGAATAATGGTTTTTGTGGTGATTTAAAATTATTATTTGAATATAAATAAAAAATGCAATGGTAAACCATTTATTATACATAATTATAATATAATTTTTGGTTAGGTACCTAATTAAGAATATAGTACGTTTTCATTATTCTATACTTCTCAATTCTTATTTTCCTTCTAGATCTAACAGTGAGTTTTTATAACAACCGATTTATATTAAAGTGAATATTATAATCATAAATAAAGTAAAATATTTAATAACTTTATATTCTAGGGTAAAGGGTATAGGCTACGATAAAATAAACTAATACAATAATTAATATGAATTGTATATAAAATATAAATATTCACAATATATTGTTTTAAATACTTCGCGCATACCTAAGGTGTTGCCCGGCGAAGAGTACATGCAATATAACTACACATATTTTAAACTTGGTTTGGTGAAAACTAAAAAGAAGACAGCATTTGGATTGTACTAGATCACTTATTTCTAGAAATCGCGGACCCCTTCACTACATTTTTTTCGAATACCTACCTTTTTTTTTTTTTACAAGACACCTCATGTTATCATAACCAAAATTATAATAGTTATTTTATATAACAATAATTGAATAAGTATACATAACGAAACATACACATTTATGATTATTTTATTACAATTAATTTTTTATAAAAATGCAATAAAAAACCATGATTGAGTACGATCGATCAACTGCACTTAGTGACAGCAAATATGATACCTACTGCCGAGACTACAGTGCCTGCTACACGCATGTATGAACAAGAAAAACTGATTATACTTAATAAATATTAATAATACAATTATTATTTGGTGTAGAATCTACATATTATTATAATACCTATACTATATGAAAAAAAAAATAATAATAATCCAACAATATTGTAATAATGCATTCATGTCGCTTATTGACGTACCTATGTTATGTGTTAAAGTTGCCGCGCACTCCCGACATGAGTATCGCGGACCCCCAGGGGGCGGCGGACCACAAGTTAAAAACCTCTGGAATAATATAATCATTTATAAATAGAAACAAATTAAGAATCAAATGAATAACAAAAAAAAATATTTAATAGTTAAAAAGTAGATAGGTACTTATTTATGATATCGTTCAAATACCTACTTCTAAAACAAAAGTATTTTAAAAAGTATTCAATACTGAAAAATGTATTTGAAAACTAAAGTATTTAGTATTTATAAAGTACTCAAATATTTTACAATACTGAGTGTAATGTATGTATAATATAAAAACTGTAGGTACACAGTTTTTGTTGTTGTTAATACTTAATAGTGTCAAAAGAACAATAAAAGATTGCAAGTTCTTTAGGCTGAGTGTAGTATACTCGAGATATGAGAAAAAATTGATGTAACATACGCATTTTTCCTAGTGAAGAACAATGTTGCAATCAGAATATGTCACTCGGACTCTGTTTTGAAGTTAGGTATACCAATTTAAAGTCGGAGACTTTGCCACAACGCTCTAGTTCACCAGTGTACATAGGCGTAATTAGGGGGAGGACTGAGCCCCCTAACCTTTATATTAGTCCCAATGTCATAATTCATATAAGTACTATCACCAACAATTGAAACGTTTATAAAATTTAATTTAAAATTGTCTTCTATTTTTTTATTTACAAGGATTAACTAAAAAAAATTTAATTTTTTTGTTATTGTCAAATACTGTATTTAGGTATGTCATTGTATGTGATGACTAGGGCTCGGGACTTAAAGAATTTGCTTATTTTTATGGATTATATTAAGCAGAGTGATATGGGAGTGCATGTCATTAATGAAATTGGAAAGTGCTTTTTTTGCTTTTGCCTACGCTGTCGAGCTCTTGCGAACAGTTGACCCGAAAACTCGCACCGTATACAACGGTTGTTACCACTTGTAATATTAATAAGTAGGGCACGGATGATGTTGCATTTGCAACTTTTTTTCTACTTTTTCAATTAATTGCTAAGTAAGTTTTAAATACGTTTCATGTAAGTACGAATTCAAATCTAAAAGTTATTAATAATAAGTAAAAAAGGTGCTCTGCTGTACAGTAGGTTACAATAAGTGGGTCACTGTATAATAGATGTGATTAAATTTGAATTCAATGATATAATATCATTGTATAAGAAAAACGATTCGGAGCGAAAATGGTTAGTCAGCCTAAGATATTACTAAGTATAGTTGATGATGCTAAGGTGAATAAAGTAATTTATATATAACCTATTTACGTAGAATCATGTTTTAAATTTTCAATTGTTAGCTATAAAAGTTGAACATTTTATAAATTTTTAACTATAAAATTATTATTAAATTTTAAATGTGATAAATTTTGTCAAAATTTGAACTTTAAATGCTTATAAAAAAAATGTGTGCTTATGTATTCTAAATATTTATCAAGTGTAATTGTAACAATATATCAGGAGCTTAGCATTAAATTTTCACGCTTTTTTAAGCAACAAAAATAATTTTAATGATATTTATAGACAAAAAAACTAAAAACATTGAAAACAGACAATGTCCACAAATAGCTCAAAAAGAGTAAAATTATTTTCAAAATTATATGGTGTATAGGAAATGCTAATAAAAACATTCAGTAAAATTTTAGTATCTACAGTCATTTGTTTTTTAATTAAAACAAAATTAGAAAATCGTTACATGAGAAATCGAGTGAATATCAAATGTTGTAAAAATATGAATTTCAAACGTTAATAAAAATTTAATTTGAGTTTCTTGAAGACATTTTTTTTTTGATAAAGGTAGACAAACTTATGAGGAATCTTGCATTACATTTTCATATCTTAGATTTAAAAAGAAAAATTTTAATGAATTTGTGTGTTTTCTTTTAATTTTTAGATTCTGCATGAGTGGAACGATGCGCGCGTACTGGTAACAAACATGGTTTTTTTTTCTGTATCTGTCATCACCTTTTTGGACAGTAAAAGTGCTTGAATTATCATCAACAGTTTTATGAATATCAATAAAAATTTATTAGTTGTTAAAAAAGCTTGAAAATTGCATAGGGGGCTTCTAGTATATTATTTCAAAGAAAGATGAAAAATATTAAAAATAATCAGTTACAGCTTTTTTTTATAAGCATTTAAAGATCGAATTCTGAGAAAATTTATCAAATTTAAAATTGAATAATTATTTTGTAGTTAAAAATTTATAAAATGTACAACTTTTATTATAAGGATTGAATATTTAAAACAAGATTCCAAGTAAATAGTTAATTCTGTTACCAAAAAAATCTAAAAAATACATAATCACAGTTAATTTTTATAGTCATTTTAAGTTCAAATTTAGAAGAAATTACACAATACAAAACCTAGAATAACTATTTTAGTTATTTTGTTGTGATTTTATAATATTATTCGTGGGAACGTGAAACTTCTAAAGTTCACTATTATATATCTATGATAGTATCAGAGTTTTATTTTGATGTATAACACGTTAAAGTACCTAATGGATATTGAGATATGATTAATTTGGAGTTTATTATAGGTACCTATAATTATAGGTCAATATTTTTTAATAAAATAGATAAGTATATAATATGTCTTATACCTAGACGGCTAGACTGACATATTATCGTCTCAGCTCAGAATCGTTTTTCTTATACAATGATATTAAATCATTGAAATCAAATTTAATATTATCCATTATACAGTAACCCACTTGTACCTACTGTACAGCAGAGCACCTTATTTTTTTATTTTTTATTATTTTTTTTGTCGGTCAACAAATTTTAGGACAGTAAAAGTGCTTGGATTTTCTTCAACAGTATCTTTTCTGATAGCAAAGTGAATCTAGTTGGTACTATGGTATTATTTTCCAAATATTTTGACTTCTTATTTCTTCCGCAAATTGTGTTTTGAGAAAATCCATTTTGGTTTTTGGTGTAATTTTAAAGCAAAAGACCGTAGATAAGTGAAACTTTCGCTGGTTGTTTATAC